CATCGCAAATAAATGGGACAGTCAGGTGATCAACCACTACTGACTTTTCGGCTGTATCTCATGGGCTTTCTTCAGGATGGACAGGCTTGATTTGCGCAGTTGCACATTTAATGGCCTCTTGGCTCCCTGAAGAAGATCCGTGAGACACGAATCGAAACGTCGGTACTGGTTAATCACCCAACTGACCACTTTACTTGCGTTGTGTGTGAATAAACCGTTTGGGCATTTTCAGTGTGATCACCAGCGAGGGAACGAAATACTCATTCTTAATGCTTAGAAGATTTTAAGCTGTCACTAAGTTACAAGTTGCTTTTCATTTGTCACTTCGTTTGTCGTCATTGTCAAATGGTGTGCAAAGGGTTATGGGGCCTAGAGTAAAAATTATGAAGGACGCTAGGCGGGTTACTGTGGTTTTAGGCACTTTTCACTGTTATTTTCGAATGACATTCCTAAGCGATGATAAGTTTGCGTAGGCAGTAGTGCACATTGGTTTCCCATTAAAACCGCATTTTACAGCTACAGACTTGGCGCGATGGTTAATAGCCATCACAGACATGAGGTTAATTGTTGCTTTAATTCTCTGTCAGTTCTGCGGATTAATGTGGCGTAGTCGTAGCATCTCTTTGCTTGTAATAGCCTACGGAACCGTTCATGCAGACTATATTTCAATGATATTTTAGTACATTCAGCGTGTGGATGCAAAACTGCATCAATATGTAGGGCCGAACAAAAGCCTGCTCAGACATCTACCGAAATGCCACTATCTATAGATGTTTATTTATCTTGAAAATAAATGCCTGCAGTACGGGTTCTTTACGTGCTGAAAAAATAGGTTCACACGATGAGATTTTTGTTCTAACCAACAAGTAGTACTGTTTTACTTCAACGCTCTGAAGATGGAAAAATGCCATGGGATCGTCGCATGGTCCGAACGGTCCCCTTGGCTGTTAGAAGCAGGGGAGGACGTGACTGCGCCGTGTGAGTCCGGGGAAGTAACCGAAACTTATTCTTGATGGCGACATCAGAAGCTACCACTTTTCCGGTAAACCCCTAATGCCGGGGTTTTTTTATGTATGATTGATTTAATACCAGAAATTTCGAATCTTGGTCAGATCTTGTGTTTATAAATTTTACGATGATAAGATTTCCATGAGAAAATGAAAG